CAAATTCTTCCCTCTATCCCCTCCCGCTCAACTGGCAAACCCTGTGGACTGCAGCTGGGGTTACCAGCCCCCGCCACACCTCCACAGTTTTCCTGCAGCTTGCAGCTAGGCAGAGATGGAATTAATTCATCCCTCTGTCTAGCTTGCCTGCAGCCAGGGAGGTGATCAATTCCACACTGATCCTAGAGTGGGGGAGGGAGGCAAGCTAATGCCCTGTAAATACCTGACAATCATCACACATGTGCTGGAGACGGAGTTAGGGGAAGCTGCAGACAGCTTCTAGATGAAAGTTGCATACCAAAGTATGCAGAGAGCTACATTTACATTATAAAGTGGAACCTGTAAAACTTAAACAAAGTCTTTCTGAATGCTTGGCTGTAAGGAGACACTCTGCCCTCAGGATTAGTAAGGCAAATGTAAAGTTTTCACTTGTCTTCCTGCTTTACATTTTAAGTTAGACTAAGTTGTGTATGCGGTGTTTTACTGGGCTGTATCTTAGCTTAGGCGAAGATTTTTGGTAGGTCCCTGCTGTAGCCTTGCAAATTGCTGTCTTCAATACATGCTTGCTTCAGAAAAAGGACTTTTTTCCCCATCCCCACACCTCACTTTGGCAGCAGCTCCCCCCTCCAGCCCCAGGCTGGTGGCTAGCATCCTGTGTGTCCAGCTGGTGCCTGGCCACACCCTCTTCACTCCAGCAGGGAGGGGCGAGAACCTTGGAGGGAGTCTCTCTTCCCACCCCTTTTGGCAGTGGCTGGCAGGCATGCTCTAGCATTCCCCAGCTTCTGGCTTGAGCCACTGCAGGCATGTTTCTGCATTTCCTGATTTAACAGAGAATGTCTGTCTAGTTATTAATCAGTTTAAGCTGCACAGCTTAAACTAACCTGCAAAGAGTGAATCAATTCAGGCTCAGGCTTTTTTATGTCTGTGTGGTGGGCCACTAGGGGGTGCTCCTGCATTGAGCCACCCACCTCACTGTGCCTGACCAGCTTCCAGGCTCCAAGTGCCTCCCTGGGGGCACCTCATATCTGGCCAACCCCCTTCCTGGAGCACACCCACTAGTCTGGGGATACAGCTGCCACCACCCAGGGATGGGCTTAATTCTGGCTCTGCGTCCCCTGGGAAACAGACCTAGTAGCCCTCAAGGGTACTTGACTCACTTCAAGAACTTGGGGTGCTTCCCTCAGTTGGAAGCACAAGTAGTGGTCTCCCTTAGTCAGCTGAACCAAGGGGACCCCAAGGCATAATCTAGATCCACTCCCAATAAGTCTCCCACGCTAGGTACAAAGGAAAACTTTATTGGTTACAAGGAGTAGGGTTGGAATAGGGTACAGAGTTTAGTATCAGAGAAATCCCATAGAGCAAACAGGGTGGCTGGAGTAACCTTTGATCATTCATCTGAGTTACTGCAAGCTATATATCTAGTTAGATCTCAGGTAGCTTACTTACAAGTATCATCCAGAGGCAGGTGCAGATTCCCTCTGGAGGCAGGCAGTTCCTTGATCCCGAGTTTTGAGAGAGAGAAAGAGAGAGAGAGAGAGAGAGAGAGCGAGCAAGCAAGTTTCAGATGGTCCAGCTCCTCTCTCTTTCTGAGTTTCCCTCATGGCTGCTGCCCCTTCCTCCTGGGCAGTCCTTAACTTATATAGCCCTTATGACCTCATTTACCTGGTTCAATGGAGGTCAGCACATGTTGGCTGTCAGCCAACCAATTTGAAATGCAGCACTGGTTGCTGGGCAGACTGGCAGTCACTAGCCCACCAAAGAGCCCAAGCCCCTCACCCAGGTATGTGATGCCAGTCACATCAGCAGAGGGAGCAGGTTTGCCCCCTCCCTCAGGAATGTATCCAGCTCAGTTCAAGTTACCTAAAGAGCCAGGGTAAGGTGTATACCCCCTGCAGGGCCCATACTAACCAAGTTGTCACAGAACAGAGTTTTTGGGGAGAAACAGAGGTGGCCTTCTGCCACAGTCTGTCCCTAGCCTAAGGGCACAGACAGAAGTACAGCTTCCTGCTGTACCTCAGAATACTTTGCAGGAAATATTCTGAGTTACAACAATCCTCTGGACTAAACGGAAGTTCACTGTTGGTTCCAGGGGTGTGGAGGGGGGCAGAGTAGAATCTAGCTGCTGGTTGCGAACTGGCATCTGGTTTCTACGAGCAATAGACCCTCCTCCCTGTGAGGCTGTAAAGTTTTCAGAATAGGAGTGGGAGAAGAGAGCACAGGGAGCTCACTATGGGGTTTCCCAGCTAGTGCTGGAGGTGGGGTGGGTGAATTGGAGCCCCCCCCCCCACACACACACACACACCTCTGGGGAGCTCCAATATACCCACTCCACCCTCCAGTATGGGCTTGAAAAACCCCAGACTGAACTCCCTCCGCTCCTTTCCCCACTCCTATTCTGAAAGCAGCGACAGGCTGGGAGGCAGTGCAGACAAGTTACAGAAGATGCCATTTTTTTGAAACAGCTTCATCTGACCCTTCATGTGATGATGTTCTGTTTTTCACCTTATCGGCCATTTTTTGAAGCAGTCTGCAGCTGTGCACCTGTGTTTGGTCATGACTATTGACCACTTTCTGTGGCAAGATCAGGCAAAAATTGTCACTTCTGTCTGCACCCTAAAAGTAACACTGCTGAAAAATCAATTTGAGCACATTTGAGATTTCTATGTTTTGCAGAAACCAATTTAAGAGATTAACACTTTTTGATAAAATTAACATTTACCTCACAGAGAAGAAATCTAAAAAATGTGTAATTGTTAAAATGATCAAGTTGTAATTAGAATTGAAGTAATTTAATATTTTTAACAGCTAAGTTGTGGGCAATATCCAATGAACCTTGAAACAAGGTTCTTTCCAAAGGAAATCTTTTACATATAGAGGGGTTATTTCCAGCCAAAATATCAAGTTTGGGAAAATGTTGTAGTAAGGATAATATGCAAGTAGCTTTACTTGTATATTGGTTTTACTGGTGTGTGTAGTAAACTCAGGAGCAAGAACTAACGTTTGAATTCTAGTGCTGCTCATGTGTCTGTGCAAGAGTTGGAACAGCTATACAAGCACTGACTAAACATAGATGAAAAGTTCTAAGTTGTCCATATGATTCTGATCCTAAAGGGACTTGTCAACATTAACCAAATAAGAAACTGAACTGATGGGGACCTCTACAAAACAGTCCAAATTTGTATGCCCATGTTAACATGAGATATGGGGATAACAGTTTTAAAAAAGATGGCCACATAAATATTGTTGCCCTATATTACCAATCCATACTTGCCCTATGCATTCAGTCATTTGATTGATAAACTATGGTTTTGTGGAATGAGTACTTATCAGCAACTATTTTTGTGACAGAAAATGTCATATTAAATGGACAGATTCATGGCTTGAACTATAAAGACTGTAGTATATTCAGAAAGTCTGACTCCCTTATCCACTCAAGAAAAATGGCTGAGCTGCTCTTGGATAAATAGACTAAATCCCTCTGGGCCTGCTGCAGTTCACTCATGTCTTACAGCTTACACTTGGTTTAGATTACTCAACAGGGTTTATTTCCTATGAGTTTCTTTTGTGTATAAAATGAATCTATAGTATACTACAGGACAATGTTTCAAGTCAAGCTTTCCATAGAGGCTATAACATCCTCTCTAAAATGTAAAGCTCACTTAAAATACATAGAGATTTTTTTCCCCTTAACTATGCAAAAAGTTAATATAAATAATTGAGTTAAAAAGACTTATTGCTGGACAGGAGCATGGGAGATTCAGAAAGACAATTCACCCATTGTCAGATATAATAAAACTGAAAGGCTCTGAATGCCTTTGAAGGCTTCAGCAAACTATACAGACCCTTTCTTGGTGTTTAGCTTTAAAAGTAACTCAATATAAAATGAACATCTGCTGAAATTTCACTCCTGAGCTCGTCTGTCCCTAGGATTTCCTTCCAGCCACACACGAGCTCCAGCTGCTTAGTTTTCCATTATCTTAAGATAGGAGGCCTTCCCTAGTTCTTTTAAGTGGAAGCAACTGTAACCTGTTTTTAGTATCTCTCACCAGTTAAATTCCCCAGTTCCTAATCAGGGATCCAAATACCTGAGCTTAGCATGACTCAGAAAATGCCTACTTCACTTCCACAGTCTTAGCGATGAATCTTAAATGGGTTCCCTCACCATTCCTGTTGGGTTGCACTCAAGTAGCAGTAGCCCACCTTGGCCTGCATCTATGTAAGCCACTGGTGAGCCAGTTAGAAAAAAAAATGTATAACACAGACTGGGCAATGAATGCCTCCACCATAATGTTGATCTTCTGAGGTAAGAGGCCAAGCAAACCAACATTACCTTACCTGTGACGGTCACCATCGGGCAGCCCCCACAGAACATCCAAACATGGAATTCTGTGTCCCCCTCTTTATTCAGTAACTACAGGCATAGACAGAGAAAGACCAAATACAATCCCAAAGTAAGCTATTTTTAATATGTGGTATGAAAGGTTTCTATAGCTGAATTGTACAGGCTAAACTGCAAGGTTCTGTGTTGCCTAAGATTCTGCCAAAACAGAGGCAAACTAAATGAAGATATTTTCCTTTAACACTAGCAAGTGTAGGAGTAGTCTGACCATGGACTCCCAGTTTTAAATGTAAAAGTCAACTCTTTACCATGTGCTGGAATACAAACAGTAGAATGTTTTGCATATTTCCTAGTTCTAGTTTCTGCAAGTTTGAGACAAAAAAACAGCCTAGCCCTAAAAACACTGGGATAAAGAGTCCAAGAGCTGAGACTATTTTTACTAAAGTGTGATAACTTTGTCTTATTATCTTGATAATGTTTGGAAGAACTATCCGATATATGTTGTATCAAAGATGTGCATAACCAGGGGTGCTGAGAGAGCCTGTAGGAAGGGAGAAAGGAATAAATTGATTAAGTCCAGGTGAATCTTGCCACTCCGTGTGCATTCATGAATATGACAATTTAAAACTCCTAGAAATAAACATAAGTGATTTTGTCCTACCTGTTTCTCCATGAGAATGACTCGGCCCAGGAGTTGATCTTCAAGACCTTTCATAGTCACAGTAAAATCAATGATGGAGGTGCGAGCACTTATTTCAGGAGTGTATGCTGGATTTGGTAGCTTGGTGGTGATGTAAAGTCTGAAGCCATTCATGATATCTGTTTCTTTATCACCAACTTTTACCTTAATGGGAATAACAATATTATGTTACAAATATTTAAGATTACAATCCCCAATGCCCTCTGGCATATGCAAATAGCAAGGACCATATTCTTGATAGATGTTTAAAAACGTTCCTATTAACCTTTTTCCTATCCTATGTAACTGAGTAACAATTAAAACTAACACTAATTAAAGAATGATGCAAAGGCAACATCCCAGCAATATTTCTAAGTACTCATTCACAACTTGTCTGATTCTGGGTAACTGCTGACTAATGATGCGTGCAACATTGCACAACAGCAGAACAGGAGAACAGGAACGGGAGATTTTTGTTTTCATTTATAATGATAGCATCCCAGGCTAATAAAAGAGGAAATATACAGGCTTAGTATCTTAGATAGACTTGTGTTTGGATTTGTGACCATCAGAGCTGCACAGAAGTAGCAGTATTTCTGCACTAGACGGCATTCTTTTACAGGTTTCCACTGCAAACACCTTTTACCTTGTATGTGGAACCTGTTTTGATGAAGTTTTTCTCCAAAATATTATCTAATGCTGGATCAAGCTCTTCCCCAACATCTTCAATCAGCAGTGGCCTTCCAAGAGACAGGCTGTCTTCTAAGTGGTTTCTGAAGTACTTGTGATTCAGGGATGTGATCTAAAAATGTAACCACAGAGCCAGGTCATTATGTTATATTTAGTGATCTGCACTAGATTTTAGACAATACTCTTTTGGCACATTTGCTACTACATTATGTTACTAAAGGAGGCATTAGCAGAATTTCAGAATTAAAAGAAAAGGATGATCTCCAGAGCAGCTGAGCACTAGCATAACTGTTTCCATTGAAGGCATCAGTAAAACTTCTGTGTACATCAATGGGGACTAATTGTAACATGTAACAGCGCTCTGCATTTGATACTAACTTTATTGCAACAATACTGCATTTGATACTAACTTTGTCTAAACGAAGCGTTTTTCACAGCAGAGACCATATGGCAGCAACTTTTCATGCCTACCTAATCAATTATACGATGGAGAACTCCCTACTTGAGAGCACGGAGGCGGAAAGGGATCTTGGTGTCATTATTGACTCCAAGATGAACGTGGGCCGACAATGCGAGGTCATGGTTGGCAGGGCTAACCGGACCTTGTCGTGCATCCACAGGTGCATCTCGAGTAGAGCCAGGGAGGTGATCCTCCCCCTCTATGCGACGCTGGTCAGGCCGCAGCTGGAGTATTGTGTCCAGTTCTGTGCGCCCCATTTCAGGAGGGATGTGGACAACATGGAGAGGGTCCAGAGGAGGGCCACCCGCATGATCCGGGGACAACAGGGCAGACCCTACAGTGAGAGACTGCGGGACCTGAACCTATTCAGCCTCCACAAGAGAAGGCTGAGGGGGGACCTGGTGACCGTCTATAAACTCACTAGGGGGAACCAGAAGGGTTTGGGGGAGACGCTGTTTCCCCTAGCCCCCGCTGTCATTTGAATCCCGTTTTTTGTTTAGGGTTCTTTTGTTGTTCTCCCGCCCTGGCGGGGGGTCGGGCTAGAAGATCTATTAGGTCCCTTCCGACCCTAAAACTATGAAACTATGAATTCAGTAACACTTTCTTAATGTGACTAGCTGTGCTTTTGGTAACGAACAAGTTCCGATGCAATCGTTATGAAAGCATGAGAATCAAAGACTTCAGGTACCAGTTACTGTACATCAATTATGCTCAGAAGAAGCTCTCCTTAAACATCTTGACAGCTACTTCATTACCAGGGATCTTGGTTTTCTCCGTTTAAAAGTTGCAAATTCTCTGATTAAAAACACTCAAATCCAGTGTTTTTCCACGATTAAAATGAAATGCCACATATATATAAGTATCAATTGAACACAATGGTTAATTGATATATTTACAATTTTAAAGCAATTTGGAAGCCCACCAGTGCCTTAATCATTATAATAAAGTAAATTCTAAATACCTATATACCTATATATTCTAAATACCTAAATTCTAAATAAATTTTGGGGGTTTTTTATCATGGAAAATCAGACCTCCCCCTGCCCCCTTTTCTTACCAGGGTGTGGGTCTAGCTGTGACTTCCTCCCCCAGCCATCACCACCACTGTTTTGTGGTGCTGAGCAGCCCTGATATGCTAGTGCCCAGTCCATACCATTGCAGCTCACTCCTGATCCACAGCCCCCCAAGCCCTGCTGGTGCCTCTTATTCCCCACCCACAGTCCCCTGACCCTGCTGGTGCCCCTCACTCCCCAACCACAGCCCCCCAGCCCTGCTAGTGCCCTTCATACCCCACCTGCAGCCCCCCATCCCCATCAACCCTGCTAGAGGGGGTCCCCAGCTGACAGGGCTATAGGACCAGGGACCTAGGTCCACAGACCTGTGCCCCCCCCTCCCCTCTCCCCAGCAGCACCCAAGCCCTGGCTGCTGCTTGCAAAGAGGTGGCAGCTGCTGCAGCAGAGCACAGAACCCAGCCTCCCCTCCCCCACAGACAGCACAGCTAGTATGGAGCCCATGGCAGGAGACAGGTGCAGGCTCGGGCTCCCTTTCCCATTGCCATCCCCCTGGGGCCTCTGTGGCCCAGTGGTCAGGACCCATCCTGGGAGGGCAGAGCAAGGCTGGGCAGGGAAGCTCAGTACCACCACCATGGCTCTCTCCACCCAGAACCCTACAGCAGTGCATTCTGGCCCTAGGCCCCAAGTCCTACACAGCACCCAGGCTGGGCAAACAACCCCAGCCCTGCCCAACTCCCTCCCTCACTATGGGGGCCTCAATTTCTCCCCCTATCCATATACCAGACTTACCGGTGGGAGCTGCTCTCCAGGCTGCCTGGCAGCCATGTGCATGTGTACATGCACATGGTGCCACCTACCTGAATGCCCTCCACCTGCTCCCCCCAGCTCCTTGCAGGCTGAAACTCTGCAGCCTGCAAAGGGAAAGCCATTTTTTCCTGCACTTTTCTCCTAAAATTGAGCAAATCAGGGTTTTACCGCATTTTTCCATGGAGAACAAAAAACTTAGTTCATGACTCTCCTTTAAAGATCCCACTTCACATTTCGCTTCCTGGCAATATTCTCCCTTTTCTATTTTTTTCATCTGTCCTATGTAGATTCTTGTCTTACACTAAGGTACCATAAGTTCTTTGGGGTTGGGGCCATCCTGTGTTTGTAAAGAAGGGGACATCAGCCCCTGAGTAGGGATGAGAAGGTAAAACAAAAACGTATTAACTGTTCACTTCATCTTCAAAAGGAGACTGAATAACATTGCTGTCTGCTGCCTTCCTTAATATGAAGTAGTTTGCACGCTGTGCTGAAGGCTTTCTTTCATGGCATCCAGAAGGACTAGGTAGGTTCCCCACATCCTTTAGCAGAGGCCTGTTATCTTAACACTAATGGCCATTTTTTTTCAACTGGCTTCTACTTCTGAGTAAGTACACTGGAAACAACTTTTGTCACTGAAAACTTACCAGAATTCAGAACTCCGAGGGAGAATTTAGGTCCCACTGGGCACACCTACACAAGACACTAGAAGCACAGTAGACTAATTGTACTGTGCATTAGCGCAGCAGGCAAAAAGTGTGCTAATGTGCAGTAAAATGAGTCTACTGTGCATTCATGCCACAAAAAAAAGTGTGCACTAGTGCTACTACTGCACAGTAGCATTGATTACAGTACATTAAGATAGTATCTGTTATTACAAGTACTAAGCTTCATGCATCATAATTACGGCACATTAATGAACGTTCAGATTCACCCATTCAGTCCTAAACATAGTTAAGTTATGGTGGCAGAATACGTCAGATTAGGCAAAAAGCACAATAAACCCATTATCTAGCCAAATATTTTGGCAGCTAAGTAAGACTTACTAAAGAGTCAACACTTGTTTGGAATCATTTAGACAGGGACTAATTTGCCCTGAGCAGGGCTTGGACTAGATGACCTCCTGAAGTCCTTCACAGGCTTATTGTTCTAAAGTAACAGGTGCTTCTAATTTACCTGAAGTTCATTTTTGGTTTCCTTATTCCTAATCCAGATTTTGCCCTGAGTTTGTGGATCAATTAACAAAGGATATCGAGATGCTTTAGTTACAATAATCCCATTCTGTATGGACAAGTCATCATTTGGCAATCCTTGTAGGTTCCATTCACTGACAGTTGGAGCATCAATTAACATCCCTGTAAGGTTCAGGATGTTGCCAAATGGGATTTTCCGGGTTTTCATTTCCTTTTGCCAGTCATTTAGTAACAGGTTGCGAAACTGTTGATTAAAAGGGCCAGAGTAGGATAGGAAAGCTGTAGCCAATAACACATCCCCTAAAATAAGCATAGAAGAAAAATCAAAACTTTACCAACACTGAATTTTTGAAGATTTTTCCATTCTTAGAGAAAGAATGTTGATAGTTTAAAGGCTCAATGAGAATTAAACAATAATTTCCTGTTAACCATTGCTATATTTATTTCTTCCTACCAGTAGAAATTCTAGGAAAACAAAATGAGGTGGGTCATCATACATACAACACAAATTTAAAAACACTACCGCCCCCAAGACAGCTATCCAGCTTATTCAAGCACTACCATTTTACAACTATGAGAAACAGCAAGAGGTAATTATTTTCAAATGCATGCTTATGTTTTAATATCTATTAATTAATTCATATTAATGCTATAACAAATATTTGTGATTAGATATTTCAATGTTTTATTATTATATTTCTATGGTTATGCTTTTAATGTTAATCAATTAATTACTATTAATGCTGTGATAATTATCTGTAACATTCTTTCAATGGTCAACACTACAAATAAAAGCTATGATGTATAGGTTTCGTAAATAAAAATATTTCTAAACTTCCAAATGGACTTATTCTTTACATTTTGTTACACCTTAGAAGTAATTTTCATCATTGCAAAAATTAAGCATTTTTAAATAATACCTGAAATGTTACTTACTGTAGCTTTACTTATACAAAGTATTAGTGAATAATACAAAAACACTGTATCCAAAAAATAAACAAACACTACAGGCATGGGGAGATCACATTCATATCCATGATCTCTCTCTGCTTCAAGCACAAGACTTCACACAACTTCAGCAACAATAACTTTGCTGCCCTTTTTATAATCATTGTTATCTTGTCAGCTGCTGCTGCCCACAAGCCTTAGCAATACTATACTCCCTCACCTTCCTCAGCAGGGATGATAAAGTGTTGAGTTACTATCTTATATACTCTATCATATATTTTGTACTTGTACTAAGTCTACCTTGCTTTACAGTACCTTTTACCAAGAATGGAGTATGTTCTGAAGTAAATTTATTATCCTGAGTTTGGCAATTAAGGATGGATGTAGATGACACGATATTTCCCATTTATGCTGATGCAACAGCATTTGAGTTTGCATGATATGGGATTTCCCACTGCTCTAAAGTGTGTTAGGCGCCTTAAAACTAACACTACCCAGAGATGTGTTATTTTGTTATTATGTGTTAAGCTGCCCTGGTTATGGAATTGTTTCATGCACACAGCCATTGACTCAAAGACTTGTAATTAATCCCCTTCACCAGCAAGTGGTGTTGTGTTCCTGCCTCTACCCAGTAGGTGCCACTGTGGGTTCTTGGTTTTGTTTTTTGGTTTGTTTGGTGTTTTGTTTTGTTTTTTTTTTTGGGGGGGTGGTCACTCATTACTCCCCCCACCCCTCCCCGCACACAGGGGCTACAGCCAGGTGAGCTGTAGCTACAGAATGGCAGAAGATGGTTATGTACCCCCAGAGGAGGGTTATTATGTAACCCAACTGGAACCCTAAGTAGTATACTACACGCTCTTAATTTGTCCTCCCCCCACCTATAGTCCTCCTGCACCCCACCCATGTACCCTCCACCTGCCCCCCCTCCACCCATGCACCCCCGCATGTGCACCCACTGCAGTGGGCACAGCTTCAAAAGGACAGCACCAGCAGGATCCCTGGACAGGCAAGTGTTTTGCAACCGATTTGAAACTTTGGAGTCAGTGGCTACAGGACTTCCTTCAATATTTCAAATGTTCTGGGCTTCACATTCCATTTCAGAAACACATTGAAAGCAGGATTTTGGCTGCCAGACCCACCAGCCATTGTATGTCTCATCTTGGGTCGTATTTAGGTAATATGTCCCAAAGAGCTTGGTGGGGAGAGTTGGAGGGCCAAGAGTCTATATTTTTGACTGCTCCAAACCCCACTCTTCTCCTTTCTCCCTGCAGAAAAACTTTCATGGGCAGAAATCTCCAGGGACGGGGACAAGCATCGATTAACCAAAATAAAAGAACAGTAAAGAAAATTTTCAGCCCTGTCCAGAGTTGTACATAGTTTTTACATATTTTTCATAGTACTATTTTATAGTATTTTTTTTTACAATTGTTTACATTTTATTTGTTTTTGTCTTTATGTATTTCTGTATAAATATATTTTTATTTTATATTGTAAAGGTGCTGGAGGGAGGAAAAATCCCCACTTTGTATATTATTTCTGTCATTATTTTAAATAATAAGCATTGAATAATTTAATTCCTTTTTCAACAACACCTTTATTTTATACAAAAAAAATGCACCACACCTGCCTTTTCTAATGAATAAAATGTTTCATTTTTGCTCCCTAAAATGTGTGATGTTTACTATGATAGGCAACATTGGGGCTCGAGCGTATAAGTGCATACTTGTATTAAAAAAAAAAAAAAAAAAAAAAAAAATGCACCCACCCACAGCAGCAAGCAGGTAGGAAAGATAAAGCAGCAATCTGCAAAACTTCTCCAGGCATGAACCTCCCTCAGAAAGTCTTAACTTTAGCAAGCCTTTGCATTACAATGCATTTCATATACATGAAAGGGAGGGAAAGTTTAACATCTGCTCCCAAGAGAGGGGGGAGGGAAAGTTTAACATCTGCTGCCACTACTCCAAAATAGCTTTTTTCATTGCAGATTGTACTGACTGTTATGGGGGTGCAATGCAAAAATGGGGGGTTTTTTCAATGCTTTCTTGAAAAAGGTCCTGCCAGGGCTCTACACAGGGTATTGGGATGTCCTCATCAGCAACCTCAGGGAGCCTGATTAAAATCAGCTGGCAATTTGCCAAGGTCAGGGTTTCAAAAAGCACTCTGCTCCCTAGTAAGAGAGCCCAGAAGTCTTATCCAGCAGATGGCTACCACAGCTCAGCAGTAGCTCTTTTAAAGACAATCCATATACATTATTGACTCACCTAGAGGAGATGACAACCAATCTGAAATATGGGCCCTGAGCAGCTTTTTGTGTGCTGCCTGGAAACCTACGGCCCTCTGCCCCACCCCCACCCCCTTTCCTGGCAGACAGCTCCAAACCACTCCCCCGCTCCCAGGTCCATGTCCTAAAATCAAGCAGGCACAATTACAAATCAGCAATTTTTGTTCATCTTTTTTTCCCCACAGTAAATTCAATAAAACCACAATACAGCTTAAACAGTGTACACAATTTTGTTTTAATCAGCAATGCCATTGGTACACAAGAGGTGAATACATTTTTTTCTAAAGATATTACAGTGATTACCAGCAAACAGGGATTTCGGAAAAACTGTTAAGCGGCCCCATTCATTACACTCAAACTGTCCCTTTAATATGCCCTTCACATTTCCCTCAGTATTACTAC